TCCTCTTGGTGCACCTGCTCCTCTTGCTCCACCTCCACATGCATGTTGCCCTTCCTCATCTTCCTCATACACTTCATCCACATCAGTGTCTCCATCAAAATGAATGAGTGGATCCTCTCTTTGCTTCCTCATCTCATTAAGCCTCTGAAGATAGTCCTCATCTGCATCCATATCTGAATCATCTTCAGTTAGAAGAATTGGTAGCTTCTGCTTAACCTTATTTACATGCTCAGCTGCAATCTTATGTTTCCTAAATTTGGCAATCTTTGTTATCCTCTTCAACTCCATTAATGTCTCCAGTTCATCCTGATCTGCTGCATTGGATTGGTCCATGGCAGCATTTGTATCCAGATCATGGTTTGTGCTCTGTTGTGTAGTGTAGAACTGCAATGGCTCTGGCTGACTCTGTATTATACTTTTTGGTGGTGATCTTAAGAGAACACCAGAAGGATTTACTACATACACAGGGTTCTCTCCTATATGGCTCAAAGGAACATGCTCCTCAACCAGATAGCCCGAGTTCAAATCTGCAGGTCTTGGATCAGTGCCCCTAACCACTGTCAAGTTCACTACATGTTGATCATTGTTAGCAATATGGTCAAGCATTTCATCCACCTTATCATCATCACAAATTTCATCCATTCCTGTAATCCCCCACACCAGGATCCCTCACAAAAAACATGAAATCATTAAGCCCATATCCCTCTGTCTCTATTAGGGAAACCAAATTATAATATGTTATGTCTGAAATGCAAACTGATCTCTCCAAGTTGTCTCTGTCATGGAAGTGCATTCTAACTTCCCAAACATCATCGTTCAAACTACACACAAATAATTAAAATAGCTTAATTAACAAAGCACTAAAACAGAGCACCAATGTACTGTAAAAAATGCATAATTCCTAAAACAGAGCACTAAAACAGAGTAATCAATATTATAATTGCTACAATACAGTACAGTACACTCTGAAAACAACAAACACCTTCTCAAAACCACTGTCAAGTTCTGAAAACCAGTCAACTTCACTGTCAAACCAATGCAAACTGATCTCTCCAAGTACAGTACCCTGCTAACTACTCTGCTGACTACATCATCAACTAGCTACTCTGTTAACTACTCTGTCAACTAGCTACTCTGTTAACTACAAATCAACCACAACTAAACACAATTAAGAGAGCACCAATTAACAGTGCCAAAAAACCTAACCCTAACCCTAGAATCGATCTACAGGAAGAGGGAAGAGGGAAGAGGAAACTCACTAGACGCCGCCGAATGACGAGGCAATCCGGTGACTCTCCGACGGATTCTCCTTCACTGCCCTGGCCCAAGATCTTGCCGCCGCATATTCGAGATAGTGCTAAGGGCTCTGGCTGGGGCTGCTCGTATCCGACGGCCAGCTAGGGTTTGAGCTCCCACATATATCTCCCACAGGTGGACCATCGTCTCCAACGCCGGCAGACCCGCCGCAGTCGCCGCCTGCGCCGCCAGCCGTCGCCATGACTGAGAGGAGAGAGTGCGGGGGAGGAAAAGAGAGTGAGAGGAGCGGACCGGGCGGGGTACGGCTCGAAGACTAAGCGGCCCGGCTCGAACCGGTGCGCCAGCGGCGTGTAACGCCGTCTAACGGCGTTGCCGTGTGAACAGTGCTGCCACGTCGACGGATGCGGGCCCCCTTGTCATAAACGCACTTAAAACGGTCCAAACAAGCAACTAGTGTTTTTTGCAAAAAAATATGAAAAAAATTAGTGCTTTTTGGCACAATTTCGTATATGTGTGGTTCCTGCAAACCTAGCCTGAAGTGTCGATGTTTTTTGCAATTCACTCCACATGTGGAACCAGGACAGTTAGCTCAGTTTGTCATTGCATTACTTTTCTTCTTAATGTTTTTTCTTCCTTGTCTATATAATCAGGTCATTTGTAGGGGTTATGGAAGGGCACATTTTCCCAAAGGAAGGCAGACCATCACACTTAGGCTCCCAGGAGAGTAGAAGAAGTGGCATGCCATTTTCCACATCAGACGAGACAGCGGTGGGTGCGTCCTCTATGGGGGGTGGGTAGACTTTGTCCGCGAAAACCATTTGCGCGAGCAGGACGTCTGCCTGCTCCAACCAATGGACAAGGGTGAGGGGAGAAGGTTCACGGTGATGGTCCATTTGCTTCCCAAGGCAAGAAGCACCAGCAGGTCCAAGGGTGGAGGTGTTGCTCTTTGCTCGAACAACGGTGGAAGTAGCAGGAAAGCCACATCAACATCCTGTGTTAAGGCGAGACCAGTTGATGGTATGTTGGCTTACCGACCTTAAACTCAATTTGTGCGTGAGTTCTGTGCGTCTGCTTAAATTTGTAGGCTCTAGAAGAAAGTAATTTCAGTTTTTCAACTTGGCATTTGTATGTTCTCAAGTTAAATCTTATCTGCAGGACAGTCGGATGACTCTAACAGATCTGGATACGTGGTACTAGGCGACGGTACCTGCTTGACCCTCCCACAAGAGAAGATAGTTGCTGAAAGGGTGAAGGTGATCCAATCTGAAGCGCCCATTTACGTGGCAATCATTGATAAGAGCAGTTATAAAATCTCGCTCAATTTCCTGGAAAATCCATCCTTGAATCCATGTTCTGGTGACTGCCATTGATTCATCTGTTGCACCTGGAAAACAAAAATAGGACCTGGCGCCATGGGAGATGCTCCTGGTGGTGGTCATCTTCCAGACGGGACGCAGACGCTGGTGCTCCGTCAGACTGGGTGGAGCAAGGCATGGCGTGCCGAGATGCTCGACAGGCGGATGCTGCCCGGGGGAGGGTGGCATGAGTTCACGACCGACAACCGCCTGCAGGCCGGAGATCTCTGCCTGCTGGAACCGGTGAAGGGCGAGGTGCTTGCCATGTCTGTCCAAATCATCCGCCGTGAGCAGTACTGTTAACTTAGCATGCGGCTTCCGTGTGAGGGGCACTCAAGGGCGCTGGTGATGATATATACATTGCTCTTTTCTGATGCTATTTTGGTGATGGTTTGTTCTGTGATCATTCATGGGTGTGTCTGGTCTGATCTCCCATTGATGCATGCAGTGATATGCACCAGTACATTTCTTAGTTTGTTCATTGTCATCGATCTTTTGCTTCCAAGAAAGAAAAAAACTTGAGTCCTGGCTTGTCTTTTTGCTGCATTTCTCAGGTTTGCCGAATGCATGGATGCTTTTGTTACTTCAGCCTTGATGAATGTAATGTGTTATAGTTGTGCCGTTTACAAATGATTTTTCTCTACAAAAGTACTTAGTTTCTGCCCAAGATCCTTCGAAAAGGGCACAGAGGGCCATGGTTATTTTAGAGTGGTTCACACGGAATGAACACCCTGAATTTTAGAGAAACTAGGAAGATAGAGAAAGGTTCGTCAGTGCGTAATTTTGCCAATTTCACATTAGGGGAGTGAGGGACGGTGCCCGAAAGGATTCCGGCGGCGACAGTGGTGGCTTTACTCGGGTGCAAGACACCGAACGGATAAAAGCCTACTCTTTACAATCGTGTCACCACGTCAAAACGCCTTCATCAAGCGCTCATAGATCACCCTTTATTCGTGTGCGTGCAAGCCATGATCGAAACCATCAAAGCAAAGAAGTCACCCTCAATCCTTCTGAAGATTGACACTCCATAGCAAAGGCGTGTGTGTCTCCTCGGAATTGCTTCTCCAATCACTCACCTGGAGAGGATTTGGAACAAGATTGACTAACTGCTTGCAACCTCTTCCACCAGAATCTGCATTGATGGGGACTTACCTTATGAGATTCGGCATCGCTACTCTTGTTTGTTGTTATGGACACCGCTGCTGCTCTGTTTGACACGACACTGCCTGCCGGCGAGAGGTGGTGAAGGACATTGGAAGATTGCAGGCAACTTTGGGAGCTTCCATTTACGCAGATGATGTTGCAAGTGAGATGCGCGCATGCAGCTGAGCGCCTCCTTGAGATCTTTGAAGCAGCAACAGGGCTCAAGACCAACTGGTAGAACATTATAGTGTTTGTTTGGGCTGTCTGATGATCCAGGTGCTGCTGCCATCTTCCAGGCCTCTACTCTACCCAGATGATCATCTCATCACCGTCCTTCCGGGGCTCTCATCGAGCCGCTGGATGCTGCCCTGCTGAACTGCTGTTCAAGCATTGCAATGGACGACGCCTGACTCTTCGTGATGCAATTACTGACAACAAATGGATGCCATTACTATGGATGCTATGGAAGGAAAGAAACGTCAGGATCTTCAATAACCTGAGAAGCGCTTCTGTCCTGTGCTCCTAGACTGCATGCAGCACTGGGCTCAATTTGTTCCCAAACCTACTCATGTATTGTTGTACTCCATCAATAATCGCGTAGAGCCCACCCACTCGCTGTTATAGTACTATATGACTTCATTGATGAGCAGCTAAGATTTTGCGCACAAGAGCGCATCAAACAGCTCAGAAAAATCGATCTACACATAAGAAAATCTTAATTGCCCAATCACCTATACTCAAATAGTTCAAAATGGCCATCCACCCATATAGAAGGGCATCTGAACCTATTGCATAATCTTGCATGGCACAGCAGAGCCGATGAACCGCTAGCGGTTGCTCCTACTTTCAACCAAAAAGCATGCATGAGATAATATATATTACATAAAAAGTATTAAACCCTCAGGTATAAGAAAAGCGAACTGGTCAATAGCCCAATACGGTATCAACTCTTTCTACTCCAGTACAAGTTGCATTTCCCAATCCTTGATTGGCATACAAGTCTGCAAGATAAATAGAAACCAAGGGAGCTCATTGCAAGATGGTCAATCGGCCAACCATCTCCCCTCCTCGCCATCGCATTGTTATATTACATATCACAAGATGGGAGGCGCCTCCGAAGTGAAGATTAATCGACGCAGGCGTCTCCAGTTGAGGTCGAAGCCCTCAAATGTTCTCGCTGGATACAGATCGTCCAAATGCTGATATGGTGTAAGCTTACACCAACAAAAATGCGTAACGATCCGCTCACAGTTGCGCATCAGCATCCATGCTGGATTTGTCGGTGTCGCTACCGGTAGGTGTATGAACCGATTTTTTACTGGATTTGCGAGCTCGCTGGGGAGGCCTGCTTGTTCCAGGGCTTTTGGGTTCGCCCTTGCGCTTTCCAATGAGCCCCAAGGCAAGTGCTTCCAGAGCTTTTGCTGTGGGAGGCCTGTTTCTGGTTCCATGCCTCCGGGAATCCGCCTGCGGAGCCAAATCAGCTTGTGAACTAGCAGGTTGTACCATAGCCATGGGTCGTTCTGCTACCTCTGGATCACGGACCTGATCGCTGCTGGAAATGGTGGGAGCTTCCTCAGCCATCATGTAATCATCATCGTCTGATAAAGTGACACATACAATTGCACCTGTCATGCTATCAAGTGGTGTCTCCTGTTTAACCTGACCAACCGAACTACTAGCTTCAGCCCCTTTCGCAAATTTTGTCTCACCGATGGTGATCTTTGAATGAACTTCAGGCAGAGCATCGACCTTGCGCTCAAATGATTTGTCCTCATATAAGTTCTTCACTTTCATCTTCTCACTTGACCTGTCATTGGTAAGAGTGTTTGATGCACCTCTTATCTGCTCGCGTGGCTTCTCTGTGGAACATCTTGCAACTGTTTTGATCTGAGAATTACCAGAAACATCACCGACAATTGATTTTGATGAGGTTGGCAGTGGCTTGATTTTCTCTTTGATCTGAGAATTACCAGAAACATTACCAACAGTTGGTTTTGATGAGGTTGGCAGTGGCTTGATTTTCTCTTTGATCTGAGAATTACCAGAAACATCACCAACAGTTGGTTTTGATGATGTTGACAGTGGCTTGATTTTCTCTTTGATCTGAGAATTACCAGAAACATCACCGACAGTTGGTTTTGATGACGTCGACAGTGGCTTGGTTTTCTCTTTGATCTGAGAATTACCAGAAACATCACCGACAGTTGGTTTTGATGACGTTGACAGTGGCTTGGTTCTCTCTTTGATCTGAGAATTACCAGAAACATCACCGACAGTTGGTTTTGATGACGTTGATAGTGGCTTGGTTTTCTCTTTGATCTGAGAATTACCAGAAACATCACCGACAGTTGGTTTTGACGAGGTTGACAGTGGCTTGATTTTCTCTTTTGCTGAACCAACTCCCTTGGAGAAAGGAAAGCTGCGCCGGCTGGTCTGGTCATTGTTACAGCTAGATAATTTTCTGCGCTTTGACACTGGTGATAAATACTTGCGCCTTTCAGTTTTTGTTTTGGGCTCAAATAAGCATGTCAAATCAATTTTGTTACCACTGCCATTAGAAGAATGACCATTGACTGGAAAATCTGAGCATGATGCAGTCACCATGTTTTGCAACGAATCAACTTGGGTTTCTTTCTTTACATTGTGCACTGAAAAGATTTCAGTGTCGTTAACATCAGTTGTAACTGGTCCACGATATTCATGGTCATCTGACAATCGACCATCTGCATCTGACTCCTCCGATGAACTGACAGTCACAACCTTGCGTGATTGGCGTGAAGGGACAGAACGAACTTTTGCATCAGCAGGTAGTCTCCTCATCTCCCTGACTCTGAAGGGCTCTTGTCCTTGTACCAAGGTAGTATCAATAATTGTGAACCTTGGAAGCTCCTGATTACCATCCAAAGGATCATCTTGGTTATTTTTCATGTCTGTGTCATAGCCATTTTCCTCAAAAGTAACATCATTACCGAATCCACCAACCTCTAGGTCAAGAAGGATGGGATCCGCTGCCACTCGTTTAAGGACATCGCTCACAGAATCAAAATAATGAGTACCTTTAGTGAGTTTACTTCTTGAGAATTTCTTTATACCTGGCACAAGAAACACAAGGGAATTCTTCGTTGTGCTGACATCTTTTGGCTGCTCTGAATGCCACCCTCTTGCAAGCAAACGGGGCCAGACAGCTTCCCAGAAAAGATCATTTGATCTTGTCTTGCTTCTTCTGAAATCGCCTGTTAAGAACTTAATTATCTCTTCCGAAGCAAGGGATGAACAGTCTTTGCCTGTAGGTATGTCAGGATGATTTGAAGGAACTTGGTTTGGCTTAGATGGGTCCAGAACAAATCCAGTCAAATCACGTTTCTCTTTACCAATTCCAACAGCCTCCACAAGAGCTTCTGTTCCAACAGTGGATTTCAGAGCAAAGACAAAATCTTCTAAAGATGTTTGTCCATCGTTGAAAGATTTGAAAATCTGCAACATGTGAAAGTAATACAGTTCATATGACAAATAAGATCCTTTTCAAAGGTTGACTATACTAAGAAAAAATCCATCCATGAATTATTGAATTATATGTCAAAATATTTTATGCCATAGAATTTGGTGGTTCTCCCATGAAATTAAGCTAGGAAAAAAATGCAGGTTACAGAAAGGAAAATATTTGTCTTTGGATCATCACAAAATTTGACTCATGTTTATCCAAGGAACAATAGCTTAAACAATCCAAGCACTTTTCAGAAAAAACTAGAAAAGAACCCAGAAAATCATGATAGCCAAATGCAGTGCACCTAAAATGGTTTTGATTTTCACGTTTAAGGTTCATATTCATAACAGGAAACCTATATAAATGCACCATAGTTAGATCTACTTATAAACAAGAGCAGGAGAGCACTACATGCAGAATAAAAAGATCAACAGAGTTATTCTGAACAGCAAAATTGATTGCTTTAGTGAAACATAACAATGTGTAAGGTGCCATATAACATGAAAGATTATTGTGTCTAATAAATCTGAATATGAAAGTTCAAACCAGAGAGCATAATTTAAAAAAACCAGATCACAGAGTCAGTTGAACTGGGCACAAACAGAACGGTTGAGTTCAATGGATTGGTTTCCCTCGAAGACTTGCATGCATAAAAAATGAACATGTGTGCAGCACCAGCAAGAACTCTTCTATATAAACAAAGAGAAGCAAGAAAAATGCAGCTAGCGCAAATGACACACTCTAATGTTCAAGAAGTAGCTGGTCTGACCAATCCAATTAGCATTCAGGTACTTGTACACACTGAGGGAGCAACAAGCATTGCTTAGATCCCTACACAGCAATGGGGGCTCATCGACGGCTGTTGTCACCGACAACTTCGGCGACAGCGATGTGGAGATGGCAGCAGAGCAAATTGTGCACCAGCCGTGAAGGGTTTGGCCCCGATACCATGTAGATGAAATTACGGGGGAATAATCATGTGTGTTCCCAGGGATACACTTTTTTATTAACTTGCAAATAGACCCTTACTAGAAATATACGAACATGTTGGGTTGACAATACAAACAACATAGTATTAAGTTGAATATAGTGCTATTGTTGAATCTGAGTGGCTAGTGTTGACAACCAAATCAGTGAATAGAACACGGTGGCTGGTCAACAACCAGTTCCTTTTAAATAACTGAGGTTCCCCGCCCTGGGATCACTAAAAACAGAGACTAGTATTGGCCAAGTTTCGGCAATGAATGCAGATAGGCATAGCAGTAGCAAAAAACTCCAAAATCATGAGCATTTCAATTTAAGGTATGTCAAACCGCATGCAATAAAGGCACTCGTTTGGTTCACTATGTTAAAAGATGTTAAGCCCTACACTATAGTATTCAACGGTACACATAATTTGGACTTACTCATTCCTTTCAACCATTCATTATAAGTTACAAAGAAAAACTGAAGAGATTTTTTTCCACAGAAACACAGTTTTTCTAGGGAGCCACAGAAACACAGCTAATTCTAGTAATATACACAAAATAGTGTTGAAAGTGACGGTCAGACTAACAGAACCTCAGCCGATCATGTGGATAATTTCATGCTGAGTCATTCCATAAGTATTAGTTAACCAGCTACAACAACCAAAGGCAGACAAGATCATTTTTTGTTGTTACATAGGCTAAGTTGCAACATACCTCCACCAACGAATCATGAGCTTCATCGAGTATTACAGATTTAAGACGAGAAATAATCTCCTGCTGCCGCCAACTTGTAAAAATGCGTTCACCGAGAATGCATCTCCTAGTTCGTGCTTTTCTGCAATCCGACCATCTTCTATACGCGTCTCTTTTGTAGAACTTTCCATAGTAGTAGGAAAGCACATCCCCAATAGTCTTGTTACCAAGGAACCTGCTCAACAGACTTAGATTTTTGCCGAAAATGTAAAGCCCGAGCAGAAAACATTCTGCCTCAATACTACTCCAAAGGGAAGTGGATGCACACGGCAGCGGAGTAAATTGATCAATTTCCCCTTGCTGCGTCATTGGCTTATTAGTAAAATCGTGGCCTTCTTGAGTAGAACATGAGGCCAAGTTCTCGGCATGTGCTTGATTACTGCCAGATTCTACATGATCTACAGGCACCATGGGCTGTGGATCCTGATATGTTGAATCATGGTCACTCGTATCATTGATGGTTGGACAAACTGAGTTTACAGGACGATCCTCATCCTGGCTGATGGCTCTTGCTTTGGTTTCTGAAGAATGATGCCTTCCTAATTCTTCCTCCTTACGGACTTCACTTGGTTCCCATGTAACTGGTATAGCTAACCCAATCATAACAGGGTAATCAAAACCAGGTAGCACGCTTCCAAGCGTGCTGGTCATGAGCTGCTGACGCTCATCCTCTGTGGACAGATTCGGGATTTCTGCCTGGTGGTCACTCCCAATGCACGGACATACAGGTGCGTCATCATATATCACATCTGAAGCAAGGGAAACTTCCAGAGACAGTTGGTGTTCACCACTGTCTTCGAGTTCAACTGAATCCATCTACCAAAATCAGAACAAAAAGTAATTAGTTTAGATCACATATTTAAATTTGTATAAAGAAGATGCATATCACCGACATTAGTAACTAAGTTGACATTTTTTGGAAGAACCATAAGGGTGCACCGCTAACATAGCTCTTTGAGGACTTCAGCGAGAGAAAACAGATATTAGAAACAGTTGAACACATACAAAATTTCAGGCCTAAGTACCATCCGTTAAAATCCTTACATATACTACCAGTAATCTTAGGATGCAACACCTCTGTACCTTCTGATACAGACTGCGCGCAACAAGAAAGTAGCAAACACTTCTAGGTAGAAACTTAACGCGTGTTCTAACATCGAGCAACTTTAGTAGAATCGTAACGCATGCCAAAGCTCCACATTAACCCCGGAAGCAACCCACGCTCATGTGAAACATCCCTCTCACACAAGACTGA